CATGCAAGGACATTCACCTTTTTCTCCTTTAACCAGTGTGCTCAGTTTTGCTGTGTACTTTGGGTAATTATGTTGGAAGGTAAACCTCTTCCCATTGACAACTTTCTGGCAGAGGATTTTCCATTTTCCTCAAGAATTTGACGGTATTTTGCCCCGACCATTTTTCCTTCTATCCTGACAAGGTCCCTGCTGGTCAGACATATCGTTTGGTATTGAGGCCAAATAATTCAATTTTAGTCTCATCTGCCTCAGAATCTTCAAGGTGCGTTTTGGCAAAGCTCAGTCGTGACTGCATGTGGCCTTTCTTGAGGAGTGGCTTTTTTCTTGCAACCCTCCCATACAAGCCACATTTGTGGAGAATTTGTGATATTGTTGTCACATGCACACGATGACCACTCTTTGTCATAAATTCCTGCAACTGCTTCAGAGTTGTTGTAGGCCTCTCTGAGCAGTATCCTCCTGGCTCTTTCATCCAGTTTGGAGTGAAGTCCTGATTCAGGGAGGGTCTGTGTTGTACCAAATACCTTCCACGTCTTAATAATAGACTTTACTGTGCTTCTAGGCATTGATAAAGCCTTTGAATTTTTTTATATTTGTATCCATCTCCTGACTTGTGCCTGTCCACAACTTTATCCCAGAGATCTTTTGACTGTGCCCTGCCACCCATAGTTGATTGTTTGCTTCAGTTGCACTACCAAGGACTGAAATGCTCCAGGAAGCTCTTTACATGCTGAGCTAATCAAAATGACCACAGCTGCTCACAATTGAAAGTCAAACGTTTTGTGTGCCATTGAGAAGGTGATTAGCTACACCTGATTGAGTTTACAACTCATTTTTAGGAGGGGGGTGATCCTTTTTCCAAATCTGTGATTTTGTTTTTTTGTTTTGTTTTTCTGACATTTTGGTGTCCTTTTGCTATCAAAAATCTAATGTGCTGTAATGGTGTCAGTGATATTCAGTTCATTCACCTGTGGCAGAGAAAAATAATTATGCAGTTCACAGAACACCCAGCCTTTTGTAGACTCTCTAGCAGGATGTAGGCCTAAGCAAGAAAGCAATTATGAAACAAAACAATGCTCACAAAATGTTGTTTCTTCAAGTGTTCAATTAGTATACATCTTTTAAGCTAAACAAGAGATATGTAAGAGAGTATATTTTCAGTCTACATTTACTACATAAAAATAAAAAATATATACTACAAAAAAGGTATATTTGGCCTATCCTTGCAATATTTTGATGGAGATATACTTAAAAGTAATATATATATATATATATATATA